GTCCTGCCTTGCATCACAAGCAAATAAAGATATAATGGCAATATACAGGTATCAAAAGAGAGTAGGTAATATTAATTGTACTGATATTTTCAGGAATTTTGATGCAATGGTTACACCAATATTGTGCTATGGGTCAGAAATCTGGGGAACAACATATTGTAAAACTACTGAAAATGTTCAGATAAGAATGTGCACATATTTCCTGAAAGTTGGTAAAAGTACATGCAATAGTATGGTACTGGGTGAATGTGGTAGAGCTCCACTTCAGCTAACATACATGTCACGGGCAGTTAAGTACTGGTGTAGATTAAGCACTCTAGATAGAAATAGGCTATGTCATCAATGTTAATTAATGTTAAAGTCTTTTGATGATGCTTGCAGAGTCACATGGGCTACACACATCAAACATATTCTATTTCAATTTGGGTTTGTATGGATTTGCCAGGTTGTTGGGAACATTAACATTTTTATCACATTATTCAAAATAAGACTTCTTGATAATCTGAAACAGTACTGGTATTCTACATTACACTCTCCTCATAAATGTGCTAACTATGTGTTATATAAGACACTTTTACAGGCCGAAACATATTTATGCATTGTTATTCCTTTACATTTGAGAATCTGTTTCACAAGATTTAAATGTGGCAATTTTAGACTTATGACAGAAACAGGAAGATACACTGATACACATAACCATTTAAGACTATGTCCTCATTGTAGGCTAAATGACAAAATGTACTTAGAAGACGAGATTCATGTTTTACTTGTACGTGATGCATATACCTATATTAGAAAAAAGTATATTAGTAAATACATCAGAAATGACAGTGCAGTAAACATATTCATAAATATTATGAACAGTCAAAATACACAAACAATAAGTGTCCCCCTCTAGTTTTATCCTCCCAAGATATCTGACTGCTGTCAAGGCTCCATGGAGACAACAAGCAGCATGTCTCTCTGGCGGCTATGTACAACACACTTCAGCCCTTGGACTGTGAATGTGGTAAATATTTATATGAAAACACTTCCCAAATGGGTGCAGTATTTTGAACTTTGTTTGCAAATAGCCATGTAGATAACATGCTTATTTGAGAGAAGACTTTATTTTGGGAGACCTTTGTAAAATTGATGATCTTTACTGACAGAACCATGTCTCATTCATACCTCCTGAGAAAAAACTCCCGTGTATCACGTTGTAGAGGCTGTTCTCACACTATGTGAATCCAAACAAGCAAACTGGTTCTTTGTTTCACTGACACATCCCTTGTATTCAGTGCAGAGGAGGGATTTGTTCACTATGTGGTTGACGGGATCCAACACTGTTGACACTAATGTAAACCCACATGCTTTTTATGACTCCTGTGCTTTTAAACCTGGTGTAAAGATACAGTGGGATTGTTCAACCCACTGATGACACATTTCAATGGGTTTCCTGTGGATATCTTTATGGATAAACAATTACAGTATAAAAGAGTGTTTTTAAGCTATACAGTGATCATCCATTGTGAATGGTAGGATTTTGATGAATGAAAGTATTGGGGTTTTAACAAAGCACTTGTGTTCCATATACAAAAGAACCGTTTTCATCAACAGTAATGTCTTTTTCCTTACATTCATGACTTAATACAGATAAAGATGGCTAAAAACAATTATATAAACAGGTAAATTCATTACTTAGGCTAGACTAACTTATTATTTGTTTTACAGATGTCATGATCAATATGTATAGAGGCATGTGATGAAAGGGGAAAAATAAATATATAACATCACCAGATTTAAGGCTAATTTTCGTCATTTTTATCATATTGATATTTTTAACCAAAATACAAAATGAGACATTAAAAAACATCTTACACAAAGATTTTTTTCTATCATTCAACATTATGGGTAGGCACATCCATCTAACAAGATAAAAGAACAAGACCATATACCATATATATACATATATATATATATAAATGGACTCCGATTTTGCTATACATTTTCACTGGGCCCTCACTAACATACATTCAGAAAAACATCTTTTCTATACATTATATGAGTAGTACGCCTGAGCTACAAGTGGTTTCCTAACACATCAGTCACTGGTCAGTTTGAGCCTGGAAGTCTCCCTTTCTAGGCAAGTAATCAGAGTGGCAGTATTTACATGTTTATATAAACAACTGAGCAGTTGCTCCATGACCCCCCACTGACAGGAAGCACTGTTTATCCCATCATACACTTTAGAGATCATATGACTCATCAGATGACCAATCAAAGCTTTTAATACATCAGACGGTTGTAGGTTGGTATTTTCGCATCCACCCATATAATGCGTACCGTATTCGACGTAATAAGCGCCCCGCTCTAATAAGCGCCCACAGCGATATTTGCTAATATATTTGCTCGTGAACAATCCCAATTAGCACCCTTTTCGATTGATCAATGTACACAATACTTATTTATTCGCGTATAATACGGTTGTACTTATTTATTCGCGTATAATACGCACTCGTGTGTTATATGCACCCTTAATTATGGGCAATTAAATTCTGGAAAAATATATCTCTCGTATATAAACATTTCAGGCTGTCAGCATAAACCACAAAATTTATCTTTCAACTCTGTTTTTTCCCCGACAAAATAATATTCTAATAAGAGACCCCTATTTCTAATTTTGAGAGCGCCCTGGGCGCTTATTATGTCGAATACGGTATATTTGTGGTTATGCTTCTGGGGGCTTTTGACTGAGGGGAGTGACCATTAAAATTGGTGCCCACAGCCCATCCCCTTTGTACATCCTCCATGTTGTACATATCATCAGCTGGTAGGTAACTGTACTCTGTATTGATGAATGGTGTACATATCATCAGCTGGTAGGTAACTGTACTCCATATTGATGAATGTTGTACATATTATCAGCTGGTAGGTAACTGTACTCCATATTGATGAATGTTGTACATAGTATCAGCTGGTAGGTAACTGTACTCTGTATTGATGAATGTTGTACATATTATCAGCTGGTAGGTAACTATACTCTGTATTGATGAATGGTGTACATATCATCAGCTTAATTGGAGGTAACTGTACTCCATATTGATGAATGTTGTACATATTATCAGCTGGTAGGTAACTATACTCCATATTGATGAATGTTGTACATATTATCAGCTGGTAGGTAACTATACTCCGTATTGATGAATGTTGTACCTATTATCAGCTGGTAGGTAACTTTACTCCATATTGATGAATGTTGTACATATTATCAGCTGGTAGGTAACTATACTCCGTATTGATGAATGTTGTACCTATTATCAGCTGGTAGGTAACTTTACTCCATATTGATGAATGTTGTACATATTATCAGCTGGTAGGTAACTATACTCCGTATTGATTAATGTTGTACATATCATCAGCTGGTAGGTAACTGTACTCCATATTGATGAATGTTGTACATATTATCAGCTGGTAGGTAACTGTACTCCATATTGATGAATGTTGTACATAGTATCAGCTGGTAGGTAACTGTACTCTGTATTGATGAATGTTGTACATATTATCAGCTGGTAGGTAACTATACTCTGTATTGATGAATGGTGTACATATCATCAGCTTGGAGGTAACTGTACTCCATATTGATGAATGTTGTACATATTATCAGCTGGTAGGTAACTATACTCCATATTGATGAATGTTGTACATATTATCAGCTGGTAGGTAACTATACTCCGTATTGATGAATGTTGTACCTATTATCAGCTGGTAGGTAACTTTACTCCATATTGATGAATGTTGTACATATTATCAGCTGGTAGGTAACTATACTCCGTATTGATGAATGTTGTACCTATTATCAGCTGGTAGGTAACTTTACTCCATATTGATGAATGTTGTACATATTATCAGCTGGTAGGTAACTATACTCCGTATTGATTAATGTTGTACATATTATCAGCTGGTAGGTAACTATACTCCGTATTGATGAATGTTGTACATTATATCAGCTGGTAGGTAACTATACTCCGTATTGATGAATGTTGTACATATTATCAGCTGGTAGGTAACTATACTCTGTATTGATGAATGTTGTACATATTATCAGCTGGTAGGTAACTATACTCCGTATTGATGAGTGTTGTACATATTATCAGCTGGTAGGTAACTATACTCCGTATTGATATGAGAAACCCAACTTTGATTTTAGTGTATCAAATTTACTTTTGTATACATGGTACACTTCAGTTTTAGCACTGACATATACTGTCTGCTGTTTATTGGCGGATGCAAGGTTCATTTCACCAATTACCCCTCCTCACCTACTGCTGTGTTCAGCACAGCGCTGTACCTGTACACATCTGCATTCAACCAGCTTCATTGGAAACAAATTAGGCTCATCTGCCTATGTGTGGAGATAAGGGCAACATCTTTTCCATGGGTGAAGTCACACAAAAACATTGTACATGAAGCACCCTTCATCATGTGTATTGGAACAGTGTCTACTCTCAATAAGTGGGAACTCAGGAAACACTAGGGACTGGTCATTTATTATAGGAGGAGTGGGGCCAGTGAGGTTATTTTTGTAAAAAAAATTATTTACTATTTATTTTTTGGGGGGATGGTGGAGGTGGGGTGGAGTGGGGGGTTGGTGGGGGTGGGGGTGTGAATGTATAAATTTGAAAATTATTTACTGACTGGTCATTTATTATACAATAAGGGGCTGTCAGGAAATAATGTTACTTATGAGGGGAGGGGCATCAAAATGTGGTACAGTCCCAAGTCCAATCTTATCACACTCCCCCTACTGAAAATAAATTACCAGTCTCCTAGATGTCAAAAAGCATTTGTGGGTCAGATATGGTTTTCATTTTTATAGGCTATTTCCAGAAAGCAGTTAGAATACAGGTCATGACAAAAACAGCAAGAAGTCAATCTGACCTAATACTGTAGTAATAAGTGTACAATAAATCACAGTTCACGATTTGCCATGACATGAGGTATCACCACAGTAGACTCACCTGGATGATGTCCTCCAGACTCTTTACATAGGTCCTCTCTGTGTCCACAATCTCAGCCACCACCCTCTGGACATAGGTTACGTACAGAGACCCCTTGTTGCTATCAGGTGAACCAGTATCCTTGGCTCCACTGGGAGACTTGGGTGAGGCTGGCGATGACCTGGATCTGCCAGAAGGAGAGCTGCTCAGCTGGGCCCCTAAAGAAGGAGGTGGGGATTTTGTCCGAGTTTGTCCTGAATATTTTCCAGCACTTTTCTCAGACCCAGCAGTGGACACACTCCTATGACCAGTGTCTAACCTGACTGGACTATCAGATGGACTACTGGAAGCCGACAAGGTGAGCTTCTCTGGTGAAGACTCAGGGCTTATGGAAGGTAGAGGGATTGACACAGAAGAGGAAAGGGGGCCTATCACAGGGGAGGTACAGCGGCTCAGTTCTAGCTTGTCCACTACTGCAGTCTTGATGCTGTAGTTGGTACCACTGGCACCACACCTTTCACCTTCTGGAGATGGAGTCTCATCAATGCCATCCATCTTTTCCACATTTTGAACACTGGATGTATTATAGTCCATTCCGGAATCTGGACAATTTCCATTTATGTCTTCACGTTTGGAATTTGTGTTATCCACATTACTTGATGAAAGTAAATGTTCATATTCCGCAAGGTTTGGTCGCTTGTGTTGAGGACGTGACAGTGATGAAGAAGAAGCAGAGGAAGAAGAGCTTATACTCAGTGGTCGTTTCTTTCCGGTATCCCCATCAAGCAGATCCTCTTTTCTGACTTTAATGTCAGTCATTTTGGATCCTGAGTCAGTGATTTTAGGGTCACTATCCGTTCTAACCACAACCCCTCTGCTCTGCCTCACTGTGGCTGAGGCAGGCAGAGACATGGACTTGGACTTGACATCTGGATGGTCAACAGAGCTCTGCTCTGTGCTTCCAGTGGCAGCTGCTTTGGTGTCATAGATGGTCAGAAGTGTTGGCGCCAAATCCAAAGATGACCCTGCAAGAAAATAGGAACTCTTTAGAAGGCAAAACACATGAAAATATTGATGTAGGTCTGAATAAAGAATAAAGCTACATATGATGTTTTTTGTAAAAATATGATGAGAAATGACAACATTTTTGTTACATGATAAATATGAAATAATTTTCCCCAAATGTTTTTTATATTAATCCACAAATACTTAAATCCATCATTCTAGGCTGCCATTTCACCTGTCCACTTTCATAGTTGAACCTGACCTGAATATTTTCTCTCTTCCTGCATACTAAATATTAATAAGAACTCATGCCAAGAACATCCAAGTGAGACGAAAGATATATTAAAGATATCTGTGATGATCAGATGACTTGATGAAAAGTAAATTCTTGATGAAAAAGTAATCTCTATCTGTTGCCTGAAATTAGGGTTTTTTTAAAAAAAGATTAAGAAAAGGACTAAGATGAATTATGGAATCCAGTAGTTACATACGTGAAAGTCAAGTACATATCATAGCGATGGTCTTTGATCTGAGTTAATGATGATACTTTATTCCAAGCAGAGGAGGGTATTTATAACTTGCCAGTGCACGCTGTGATACTTCAGATTGATTCTAGGAGAGAGATACAGGAGATTGCAACACTACTACTGTTTCAGATCATAACTAATACCTCAAGACTATTCTGTGTCAGCCAAACTACAAATGTCGGAATACAAAATGCATATCATGACGGTTCAAGAGAGGGATATACTGCTGTACATATGCATTCTCCTGTTTAATTTGAGTACACACCTCTAGATACTTCAACAAATGTACATTGATTGATAAATATCCTCAGCTTACGCACTCACGTACGCAGGACATTCTTTAACATAAACTCTGCAAGTATGCAAATGAGAGCTGAAATATTTAATTCTCCTTAGTCTGAAATTTACAACTTCAGAAAGAATTGCACCCCTCATAATCTTAAAAGTATTATTGGGGATCGGTCTCCTCTGCTGTACCTGATCTATTGCCTCCTGAATGAACACAGGTATCTTATAATTGACTGCCAATGGGTGGCTGAATGAAGGCCTCATATGGGGTGCTACTGGGGTACAGTTGTAGTAACATGCTTGAATGTTGATAGTTGTGTAGCAATTCATACTAAAGTATTATATAACCAGCTGAACATGCATTGTTCATTGTCAGTTTCTAGTGGTGTCACCCATCCAATGACTACTGGCACAAAGTCACCACTGTGACCACCAAATCTTTATTTAGGACCGTCATCATTTATTCTTGAACTCCTAGGTGTGTTCTATTTTGAATCCATGGTGCAGGAGAAGTCACATTCTGGCCTGGTACATGTGGTACACTGGTCTTCCTTGTGAACGTGCAGTAGAGAAGGGTGCTGGTGTAAGATGTATAATGTAATGAGGCAAATCCTGATTCCATGAAACTCTATCCTATCCTTCCCTTCTCTGTATCTGACAACAACACTTATCATGTCAAGAGGTCATAGCAACATCAGTATTTATAAATACTTGCCACCATGAGAGACAATCAATTCCTACTCTTATCATACCTTCCCTCCATGAAAGGTGTATAGGGCATGAAGCTGCATAAATCAACTTGAATTTTATGTCATGAAGGATCCTACCTTAGATTTTTTAACAGTAATAAAATCCAGAAAGCGTGATCATTTCAAACAACTACTTTATAGAAGTTTCATTTTAACTTTAATTTAAGACCTTTACAAAACAATATTCTTATGTTACTAATTTTGTTTTTTATTCTTAGTTTACAATAAACATCAGGTGAATTGTAATTCAAATTCTGATGTTATATTTTGTTTTAACATCTTGTCATGAAGGACAAGAACATCAGTAAAACTAGGAATTTAAATTTTTTGAAAACAGATCCACACAGACACTGGGACCCTACTGGCAGACACCCTGCTCAACACAGACATAGGGACCCTACTGGCGGACACCCTGCTCCACACAGACACTGGTACCCTACTGGCTGACACCCTGCTCCACACAGACACTGGGACCCTACTGGCGGACGTTCTGCTCCACACAGACACTGGGACCCTACTGGCAGACACCTTGCTCCACACAGACACAGGGACCCTACTGGCAGACACCCTGCTCCACACTGACACTGGGACCTTACTGGCAGACACCACGCTCCACACTGACTGAGGACCCTACTGGCGGACGCCCTGCTCCACACAGACACTGGGACCCTACTGGGGGACACCCTGTTCCACACAGACACAGGGACCCTACTGGCGGACACCCTGCTCCACACAGACACTGCGACCCTACTGGCTGACACCCTGCTCCACACAGACACTGGTACCCTACTGGCAGACACCCTGCTCCACACAGACACTGGGACCCTACTGGCGGACGCCCTGCTCCACACAGACACTGGGACCCTACTGGCGGACGCCCTGCTCCACACAGACACTGCGACCCTACTGGCGGACGCCCTGCTCCACACAGACACTGCGACCCTACTGGCAGACACCCTGCTCCACACAGACACTGGGACCCTACTGGTGGACACCCTGCTCCACACTGACTGAGGGACCCTACTGGCTGACACCCTGCTCCACACAGACACTGGGACCCTACTGGCGGACGCCCTGCTCCACACAGACACTGGGACCCTACTGGCGGACGCCCTGCTCCACACAGACACTGCGACCCTACTGGCAGACACCCTGCTCCACACAGACACTGGGACCCTACTGGCGGATGCCCTGCTCCACACAGACACAGGGACCCTACTGGCAGACACCCTGCTCCACACAGACACTGGGACCCTACTGGCGGATACCCTGCTCCACACAGACACAGGGACCCTACTGGCGGACGTTCTGCTCCACACTGACACTGGGACCCTACTGGCTGACACCCTGCTCCACACAGACACTGGGACCCTACTGGCAGACACCCTGCTCCACACAGACATAGGGACCCTACTGGCGGACGTTCTGCTCCACACAGACACTGCGACCCTACTGGTTGACGCCTTGCTCCACACAGACACTGGGACCCTACTGGCAGACACCCTGCTCCACACAGACACAGGGACCCTACTGGTGGACACCTTGCTCCACACAGACACTGGGACCCTACTGGTGGACACCTTGCTCCACACAGACACTGCGACCCTACTGGCAGACACCCTGCTCCACACAGACACAGGGACCCTACTGGCGGACGCCCTGCTCCACACAGACACAGGGACCCTACTGGTGGACACCCTGCTCCACACAGACACTGGGACCCTACTGGCGGACACCCTGCTCCACACAGACACTGGTACCCTACTGGCAGACACCCTGCTCCACACAGACACAGGGACCCTACTGGTGGACACCCTGCTCCACACAGACACAGGGACCCTACTGGCAGAAACCTTGCTCCACACAGACACTGCAACCCTACTGGCAGACACCCTGCTCCACACAGACACTGGTACCCTACTGGCAGACACCCTGCTCCACACAGACACTGGGACCCTACTGGCAGACACCCTGCTCCACACTGACACTGGGACCCTACTGGTGGACACCTTGCTCCACACTGACACTGCGACCCTACTGGCAGACACCCTGCTCCACACAGACACTGGTACCCTACTGGCAGACACCCTGCTCCACACAGACACTGGGACCCTACTGGCAGACACCCTGCTCCACACTGACACTGGGACCCTACTGGTGGACACCCTGCTCCACACAGACACTGGGACCCTACTGGCAGACACCCTGCTCCACACAGACACTGCGACCCTCCTGGCAGACACCCTGCTCCACACAGACACTGGTACCCTACTGGTGGACACCCTGCTCCACACAGACACTGCGACCCTACTGGCTGACACCCTGCTCCACACAGACACAGGGACCCTACTGGCAGACACCCTGCTCCACACAGACACTGGGACCCTACTGGCAGACACCACGCTCCACACTGACACTGCGACCCTACTGGCAGACACCTTGCTCCACACAGACACTGGGACCCTACTGGCAGACACCCTGCTCCACACAGACACAGGGACCCTACTGGCAGACACCCTGCACCACACAGACACAGGGACCCTACTGGCAGACACCCTGCTCCACACAGACACTGGGACCCTACTGGCAGACACCACGCTCCACACTGACACTGCGACCCTACTGGCAGACACCTTGCTCCACACAGACACTGCGACCCTACTGGCTGACACCCTGCTCCACACAGACACAGGGACCCTACTGGCAGACACCCTGCTCCACACAGACACTGCGACCCTACTGGCTGACACCCTGCTCCACACAGACACTGGGACCCTACTGGCAGACACCTTGCTCCACACAGACACTGGGACCCTACTGGCAGACACCCTGCTCCACACTGACACTGGGACCCTACTGGCGGACGCCCTGCTCCACACAGACACAGGGACCCTACTGGCGGACACCCTGCTCCACACAGACACTGGGACCCTACTGGCAGACGCCCTACTCCACTGGAATCATTCACATTATATTCACAAAGCCACAGTAAATCTTGTGATTCCTGTGGATGAAGCACAGACAGAGCATGGGCTTTTTCCACATTTATCTCACACTGACCTTGAAGGTCATCACAGCACTTGGGGTCCTGAATACAGGTCATCCCAGGGAAATAACAGACATGTGCAAAGGTCAGAGTTCATGTATCTTAACAAATTGAAGGTCAGCAAAGTAATTGTCACCTCTGGGACTGCGTGACATGAGTATCAGAGGATCCCTGGAAAGCCAGCAATATGGCCCCCACCCATGTTGGCAGGGAGGTGCGGTACACAGAGAGGACATTACCAAGATAAGCAGCCCTTATAGCTATGGTGATGAGTGTCCCACACCGACAGAAAGCCATTAACACTTCCCAGATATATCTGATCACTGGTCAGTTCCTAGTCTGTCATACAGACCATGAAACAAATATATCCAATACAGCCCATGCAAGACTATAATATTTGGCAAGACTAG